AAGCCCGTTTGACAGAAATGTTTAAAAAGTGTTGGGTTTCCTACGAATCCGCAAGAGCGCGCGGGATGAGATTTTGACATTTTTTGTTGAAAAACCATTGGTTTTTTGATGTTTTTATGTTAAAATCGCTGCGAACACTAAGGTTTTGGAAGGATTTCGTCTTGCGCGCGCGAATGTCCACTTTACCTTATTTTTTGCAAGGGATTCTTGAAATTTGATTATATTAGAACAAGAAATGTCATTTTCTATTGTTTTTTGCAAGGGAAAGCGGATTACAACAAAACAACCGGATCCTGTACACACCCTCTTTTCTGAGGCTTCCTCACGAAAATGATGAAAATGTAGCTGCGGCCTAGGCGGCGCAGGGGGGGCGCGCACCAGGGGGCCCAACAATAATTATTCTTTAGAATAAATAATGTTCAACAACAACAACAACACCAACAACACCAACACCAACAACAACAACAACAACAAACAACAAACAACAAACAACAAACAACAAACAACAAACAACAAACAACAAACAACAAACAACAAACAACAAACAACAATCAACAATCAACAATCAACAATCAACAATCAACAATCAACAAACAACAAACAACAAACAACAACAACAACGATAACAACAACAACAACAACAACAACAACAACAACAACAACAATAACAACAACAACAACAACATCAACAACTACAACAACAACAACAACAACAGCAACAACAACAACAACAACAACGATAATCCGCACCGCGGAATTCCACTTCTTCAGCCACGCACCCAGGGACAGTGAATGACCGTTGGGCCCCCTCACTCTGATTAGGAGGTGGCTCTGCATGGCTTAGCGGAGCAAGCATCGCATGGCGCAGCAGGTGACCAAAGTGCTGGCAGAGCTTAGCAAGGCCAGCAGGTGTTCGCAAATACTGGCAGGTCTCAGCAAGGCACATCAAGGGCGAACAGGGCCCAGCAGGGCTTGGTCGGGCTTATCAGCGCTGCGCTGGGCTTGGCAGGTGGCTAGCAAAGCTTCCCAAAGCTTAGCAGAGGGCCATCATGGCTTAGCTGTGTTTAGCAACGCTTAGCAGGATCAGAGAATGGATGGATTCTGTTTGTGTTCGGTATTCGGTTTTCTGCTATGTATACAGGCGGACAGCGACGACGACGACGACGAGGGCGACGAAGACGAGGGGGAGGAGGAAGAAGTCGACGACGAGGGGGTGGAGGGCCAGCACCCCCATCCGTCCTATCCCCCATCCGCCCTATCGACCCAAACCAAGAGCAAGGGGAGAAGAAAGATCACCCGGGTGACTCCAACCTAAGACCCATGGAGGCCCAACCGGAAAGAAAAAAAAATGGGGCGCGCCGAAGAACCCAGGGGGTCCGGTTTCCGCGGAGGAAAGAAAAAAACCCTGGCGATGGGGTTCGAGCACGGGGGTTACCCCCCCCTCAAATTCCGGAAGAGGAATGAACTCCCAGCCGCGGGGGTGCCCGCGCGAGGGGTCCCACCCCCCCAAGCGCAACCAGAGGAAGAAAAGCGTGAGAGCCGAGACTGTAAGTGCAATGCAACAACACCTTAATCGCGGTTGCACTAGGGATTTGTATTAGTACGAGTTGTACGGTAGTCGGAGGGGTTCAGGGGTTCCAACGGCAACGCGCGCGGGGAAGAAGGAAAGAAATCCATGCGCCGCCAGGGGTCCCGGGTTTAACGGGTCGCCGCGAAGGTTGACCCCCCGCGGAAAGAAGAAAAGAAATCCGGCCGGGGGGTTGGGGGGTTGAGGGATGAGTCACGGGGGCGATGAAGAAAGAAACGCATCGGAGTCACATTGGAGCCAGATTGACACAATCGTGGGGCCAACTAGGGTTCAAAAAGGCCATATTGGATTGGGGCAATCTCGAAGTCGTCTCGGACTCATGGGACTTTCTGGGGCCACCTCGGAAAAGAATCGGGGTCGCGCGGTAGCCTTAGTTCAATTAGAGGACAATGGGTTCGTCTCGGTGTTCTCTTGGGGCCGCAGGGTTGCTCTGGGGTCATATTGGGGGCCATTGCTTAGCAGGGGTGGGCATCTTGGGGCGACGGGTAATGTCGTGATCCTTTCCAAAACCCCAGTTGGGTCCATCTTGGGATTATCTTTCCGTTGCTGCCTCTCTCGTTATTGTTGCTACAGATGTTGCTATTACTGCTGGCGTTGATACTGCTGGTGCTGCCTGGGCTGCCCGTGGTGCTGGTGCTGGTGCTGTGCTAAATTTCGGGCCCTCTTGGAGCCTTCTTGGGGCCCTCTTGTGACCCTCTTGGGCCTCTTGGGTCCCTACGGGGGCCTTCTGAGGGCCGCCCTTACGACGCTACCGAGGGGGCCAAGAATTCAACGCACACTTAACACAAACCGCCTCCTTATTGGAGAGCGTCTTGTGTTAATTTGGTGTTAAAACATTTAGCCCTCTTGGAGCCATCTTGGGATCCTCTTGAGGCCCTTGTGGGCCCTCTTGGGCCGAGGCGGGAGCCCTCTGAGGGCCTTTAGTAGGCCTCCAGGAAGGCTAACAATTCAACACGCATTTAAGACAAACCGCCTCCTTGTTGGAGAGCGTCTTGTGTTAAATTTATATTTAACTTAGTGCCCTCTCAGAAGAACCCCAAGAAGGCCCAAGAGGGACCCAAGAAGGGGTGGGTCACCATGTATCCGCTGTTTGTACAAATCCTTCCTCGTGCAGGGCTCGGCTTGAGGCTCGGAGGGCCTTCAGGAGGGTTCCAGCCTGAGGTATTCAAAGACTTCGCGTGAGCTTCGAGTGCGATTGCGCTGCTCCGAGACGGCCCCAAAGCGCTCCAAGACGGTCACAATGGCTTCAAGACGGCTAAAGGGACCCTGCAGACGCCCCTGGGGGCTCCAAGAGGACCCCCTCGGGGTCTGCACGAGGCCCGAACCATAATTTTTCTTTTGGTTTTCTGGCGGATTTTAGCGTTCTCGCTTTTTCTGGGTTCCAATGCTCCAAGACGGCCCAAGAGGCCGCCAGGATCGCCCCAAGACGTCCTAAGATGCCACCGAAGAGGGCTCCAAGACGACCCAAGATGGCACCGAGACGACCCATGAGGCCCTTAATGCGGCCTAAATAGCCCACAGGACGGCCCCAAGAGGGGACCCAGGGGGCCACCGGAACTCTTGTGAAACGGCGTGGGGGCATGCGGAGAGCCCTCGCAAGTAGACGCGGCGCTGGGGTCACCATGTATCCGAACATTGTACGAATTCGTACATGTCTGAGACGATCGCCGAGCCTCTTGGGAGCCCTTTTGGTGGCCTCTTGGGGCCTGCTGGGGGTTTCTTGGAGCATGATAAGGGGCATCTCGGGCGCCTCTTGAGGTGTGTTGAAATTCTTGGGGGCTTCTTAGGGCTTCTTGGGGGGCCCTTTGAAGGCCTCTTGGGGGCCTGCTGGCGCCCCAAGAAGGCCCCGAGAAGAATCCAATAGGGTCCCGCAAAGTGTCCGGGTCCGCCAGAGATGCTGCAGCACCATTTCCGGGTGACCCAGAGACCTCTCGGGGCCTTCTTGGAGCTCTCTTGGGGGGCTCCAGGACGGTTTGGGAGCGCTCAAAGATCCCAAGAGGGCCCCGATAAGACTCCAAGAATGTCCCGAAAAGTCTCCCTCCGTGCCACCCGGAGATGCTGCAGCACCATCTCCGAGTGGTGCCCAGGGAGGGGGGTGGGGCTGACTGTTCTGGGAGATATCCCAGAAATGGATTCTCACTGCGCTCGCTGGCGCAGTGCGCTGCTCGGGACGCACAACCCAAGTGGAAAATTACAAACTGAATGGGAAAACGGCTTGGGGGGTTCTACTAGGAAGCCCTGACCGTTACGGGGCCTTTGACTGACAAAGGGTGGCGCAGCTCTGGCGGGAGCTTCTTGGGGCCACTGGACTGGGAGCAGGAGGAGGAGGAGGAGGAGGAGGAGAAGGATTGGGAGTGGGAGTGGGAGCAAGGACGGGGGAGTGGGGAGGACAAAGAGGGAGGGAGGCAGAGGTGTCTGCCATGCTCGACTACGGCCGTCTCGAACGTTCCGCGCCGCCAGGAGTGTCGGAAAAGCTCCCGAATGTCCTCACGCTTGAAAGCAACACCTCTCGTGATATCGCGCTGCCAGAAAGCCGGCCAAAATATCCGACGCCGCGTCCGTTTTCAGTGCGCTACCCCCAAGACCAGGGCAACATCGAACCGGGATAGATTGGGGATCTCTGGGCGGTTCTGGAAGACGCGTTGGGCGGCGCGGCCGTTCCAGAGCGCTCCGCAACGCTCTGAGGGCGCTCTGGAACGCTCTGGTACGATTTATCCAGGTGGACCCTGACCCTGCCCGACTGGACCTCTCGACCCTTTCCTGGGGACTTCCTGTGAATTCCGGCGGCAACAGCAACCAGCGGCAAGAACAGATTTGCTGCGCTTCGAGGCGCTGGGAGCCTGGGGAGAAAGCACGAACGTATCTTTCCGTGCCGCACGTCCTGTTCGGCGTGGCGCTGGGGCCACCCACCCTCCCTGCTTGCAAAAGCCACTGCGACAGCAACCAAAGCATGTTCATTTCGGTGCACAGTATCTGCAACTTCCTCATATGCTCCTTCTCCGGCTCTTCTCCGGCTCTCCTCCGGCTCTCCTCCGGCTCTCCTCTGGCTCTCCTCTTGCTCTCCTCTGGCTCTCCTCCCCTCTCCTCCTCCTCCTCCTCCTCCTCCTCCTCCTTTCCTCCCCCTCTCCTCCTCCTCCTCCTCCTTCTCCCCTCTCCTCCCCCTCCTCCTCCTTCTCCCCCTCTCCCCCTCTCCCCCTCCTCCCCCTCTCCCCCTCTCCTCCTCCTTCTCCCCTCTCCTCCTCCTCTGGCTCATCCTCCTCCTCCTCCTCCTCCTTTCCTCCCGCTCAAACGGATATCGCTGTGCGGTGCGCCCCTGCTCATCATGCTCCGCTTCTCATCCCTGGGCAACGCTGAGACAGATGAGGAAACATCAGGGAGACGCAACGCGCTGAAGATGCTGTCGTCGGGGCACCAAATACCATATTCCTCCATTGCTCGAGGGGAGAAGAGCAAGGAGGTGCCAACACGTGCACGCTCGCCTATCCATCGCACCCATCAGGCTCCACGTGCTGTCCCTCGCACTGCGGGCACGCGGTGCGTGAACGATCATGCCCAATCTGCTCGGCCCTGCTCAGATGTCGTGCATGCGGCCCGGCATGGCAGTCAGAGCACTGGGCGGCGCGCCGAGGGGGGCAGTGTGAGGGGCAGACCTCCTCAGAAGGCAGCGGGGCTTCTCGGAAGCCCTCCAACCTTCTGAGAGGTCCCCTGTGGCCTCGGACAGTGCTTTGGGACCGGCCCCGGGAAAAGTTTGGGAGATCGAGAAATCCCTGGGCGCAAACGCCGAAACGACCAGTGCGTAGCAGATGCGCTCAAACAGGCCAAGCTGGTTTGCCGCGCACGGAGTCTTCGCTGGCCTCTGCGCGCGCGGACGAGGGGTCTCAGTGCCCGAGGAGAGCGGCAGGTTGGAGCGGGGGGCGTGGGGGGGAGCCTGAAGGAAGGACTTCTTGCCATCCACGTCCCTCCCTATGAGAGGAGCAACAAAAGCTGCATAAGCATAAACGCTCGGAGGCCCGCGCGGATTTCTGGGATCGACGCTGGGCCCCGCTCCCTGACGCGCGGAGCTCGCCAGGGACGGCGCTGTATGAGCCGCCAGGAGCGCCCATCGTGGAGCTCCGACAATCGTGGAGCTCTATTGTTCGAGTCTTCCTTGCATGTGCAGAGGGCCTCTGCACACATAAGGAAAATGGGCAACAGCTCCCTAGAGGAGCCGACTTCCCCTAATTGCTGCTCTCCTCCCGCCCAACCCCCTACTCCCACCGCCTCCTCCTCCTCGTCCTCCTTCTCCTCCTCCCCCTCCTCCTCCTCCTACTCCTCCTCCCCCTCTCCCTCCTCCCTCCTCCTCCCTCCTCCGTCCTCCCTAAAATCCCTCCTCCTCCTCCTCCCTCCCCCCTCCTCCTCCCTCCACGATTGAATACAAGTGGCACGTGTGCCATAGCCCTTGCACAAAAAGGAAAGGGGAGGAGGAGGAGGAGGAGGAGGAGGAGGAGGAGGAGGTGGAGGAGGAGGAGGAGGAGGAGGAGGAGGAGGAGGAGGAGGAGGAGGAGGAGGTGGAGGAGGAGGGGGGAAGAGGGGGGAAGAGGGGGCAAGGCATCGCCCTCTGGGCCCAGCAACGGGGCCCAAGTCCCAGGTGGGGAGGGTTGGGGAGGCGGCGTGCGTCGCGACGCGGAATAAAGTGCTCGGAGCGGAGGGGGCACGGAGCGGAGGTCCCACTGGGGCGCTGGGGGCGCAGAGAGGAATAAAATGTTCGGGATGGAGGGGGCATTGGTCGGGGCTTGGGGCAGAGGGCCACGGGGCGGGGTCCAACTGGGGCGCTGGGGACGGGGGGGAGGTGGTGTGCGTCGGGACGCGGAATAAAATTGTCGGGGCGGAGGGGGCACGGGGCGGAGCCCCCACTGGGGCGCTGGGGACGCGGGGAGGGAGGTGGGGTGGGGGAGGTGGTGTGGTGCGACGCGTAATGCAGCGTTCGTGTCGGAGGGGGCAGTGGGCGGGGGGCCCGCTGGGGCGCTGGGGGCGCGGTGGGGCTCGGGGCAAACAGCCGCGGCGCGGGGGCCCCACACTGGCGCTGGGAACGCGGGGGCGGGGGGGGGAGGTGCGACGCGGGATAGAGCGTTCGTGGCGGAGGGGGCAGTGGGCGTGGCCCCCGCTGGGGCGCTGGGGGCGCGGCGGGCTCGGGGCGGAAAGCCACGGCGCGGGGGCCTCGCACTGGCGCTGGGGACGCGGGGGGGCGGGGAGGGGGCGACGCGGGATAAAGCGTTCGTGGCGGAAGGGGCAGTGGGCGGTGCCCCCGCTGGGGCGCTGGCGACGCGGGGGGGCCTGGGGCAGAGAGCCACGGCGCGGGGGCCCCACTCTGGCGCTGAGGGCGCGGGAGGGGGGGGAGCGACGCGAAATACATGGTCGGAGATTAGGGACACCTTTGTTATCAAAGCCTTGTGCAAGATACCTGTCGGTGCTGACGTTGGGGCGGTTTAGGCTGGGCTCTTATTGTTCGTATCATATTTTTGCTTTCAGTCTTCATATCCGCTCAGGGCTGTGGGAGAAGGGTGCGGGGGGGGGGGGGCGACGACGACGCCGAAATAACGTGTCGGGGCGGTGGGGGCGGCGCGCTGGGCTGCTCTGGAGAAGGGAAGGGGGGAGGGGGAGGGCGACGACGACGCCGAAATAAAGCGGTCGGGGCGGAGAGGGCGGCGCGCTGGGCTGCTGGGGAAAAGGACCGGAGGGGGGGCGACGACGACGCCGAAATAAAATGGTCGGGGCGGAGGGGGCAGCGCGCTGGGCTGCTGAGGAGAGGGAGAGGGGGGGTGGGGGCGACGACGACGCCGAAATAAAGTCGTCGGGGCGGAGGGGGCGGTGCGCTGGGGTGCTGGGGAGCGACACATAGCGACACATGTCGACACAACGCCGAAATATGGCGACGACGACGCCGAAATAAAGTGGTCGGGGCGGAAAGGGCGGTGCGCTGGGCTGCTGGGGAAAGCGATACATGTCGACACAACGCCGAAATAGGGCGACGACGACGCCGAAATAAAGTGGTCGGGGCGGAGAGGGCGGTGCGCTGGGCTGCTGGGGAAAACGGGCCTCGGGGGAGGGGGCGGACGACGACGCCAAAAATAAAGTGGGTTCGGGGCGGAGGGTGGAGCGCGCAGGTGGCTTGCTGAGGAGAGGGAGAAGGGGGGGGGGCGACGACGACGCCGAAATAAAGTCGTCGGGGCGGAGGGGGCGGTGCGCTGGGGTGCTGGGGAGCGACACATAACGACGCATGTCGACACAACGCCGAAATAAAGTGGTCGGGGCGGAGGGGGCAGCGCGCTGGGCTGCTGAGGAGAGGGAGAGGGGGGGGGGCGACGACGACGCCGAAATAAAGTCGTCGGGGCGGAGGGGGCGGTGCGCTGGGGTGCTGGGGAGCGACACATAGCGACACATGTCGACACAACGCCGAAATAAAGTGGTCGGGGCGGAGGGGGCAGCGCGCTGGGCTGCTGAGGAGAGGGAGAGGGGGGGGGGCGACGACGACGCCGAAATAAAGTCGTCGGGGCGGAGGGGGCGGTGCGCTGGGGTGCTGGGGAGCGACACATAGCGACACATGTCGACACATATCGACATATAGAGACATATATCGACACACACATATCGACGCATAGCGACACACAGCGACGCACACATGGAGACGCATAGCGACACACAGCGACACATATAGCGGCACATGAAGGGCACAAGGCACACAGCGACACATACAGCGACACATGAAGGGCCTAAGGCAGCTGGGGGGGAGCGACGACGACGCCGAAATAAAGTGGTCGGAGCTCTAGACACCCTGTGCAAGAGAAGGAATACTACTCTCATATCCCCCTGGTGGCATCCGGGAAATGGCCGGCCCCCCTCCGCGTCTTTTAATACACACAAGATTTCCCGGAAACGGGTTTTCGCTTGGTTTGCTTTCGAAATGCTGCTCTCGCTTAAGCGCTGCTTCATTTTCGGGTTACCGCTCGTTCCGAATCGTGCTCCCGCTGCAGCGCTGGCGTCATCATTTCCAGCGCCATGCCACGGCATTTTTGTTCGGTCCTCCCAAATGGCCCGCAAATCTAGAAAATGCCCCCCCGAAAAAAACATCGGAAGCAATTACACATTCGGTGCCGATTATTTGATTTGCTGCGCCGCAGAAGACCCCCCACTTTGGGGCGTCGCCACGCCATGCTATGTCAGGCTACGCGTCCTCATGTCCGCGTTTCCGCGCTTGTTTTTTGTTGTTGTTTGTTTGTCAAATGCTGCTCTCGCTGAAGCGCTGACTTCATTTTCGGGCTACCACTCGTTCCGAATCGTGTTCCGGCTGCAGCGGTGGCCTCATTTCCGCGCTTCCGCTCGTTCCGAATCGTGCTCCAGCTGCAGCGCTGGCGTCATTATTTCCAGCGCCATGCCACGGCATTTCTCGGTCCTTCCAAATAGGCCTGCAAATTTTAAAAATGGCCTACCGAAAAAAGCATCGGAAGCAATTACACATTCGGTTTCGATTCTTTGATTTGATGCGCCGCAGAAGCCCCCCCCTCATTTGGGGGCGTCGCCACGCCATGCTATGTCATCTACGCGTTAATTTTCAACACCATGCTACGCCATGTAATGCTACGCCCTGCTACGACATCCGATTGTGCGAATAGGGAGGATATCTGCGCCATGGTAAGGGATTGGAGGGAGGGGTAGGACGTCAGATATGACGCGAGAGCACCTAGCTTGTCCCTCCCCCTCCTCCTCCCTTCTCCCTCCTCCCAACTCCCCCTAACTCCTCCCTCCTCGTTCCTCCATCTTCCCTCCTCCTCCCCCTTCCCTCCTCGTTCCCTCCTCCCTCCCTCCTCCTCCTCCTCCTCCTCCTCCTCCTCCTCCTCCTCCTGGTCCTCGTCCTCGTCCTCGTCGTCCTCCTCCTCCTCATCCTTCTCCTCCTCCTCCTCCTTTTCCTCAGTTTCCCCCTTTTCCTCCTTTTCCTCCTTTTCCTCCTCCGTTTCCTCCTACTTTTCTTCCTCCTCCTCCTCCTCCTCCTCCTCCTCCTCCAGGACTTCCTCCTCCTCCAAGACCTCCTCTTACTCCTCCTCCTCTTCCTCATTCTCATCTTGCCTCCTCCTCCTCCTCCTTCTCTGTATTTTCCTATTGTGTTCTTTGTTGGTGTCTTGTTCCTCCTCTTCCTCCTCCTCCTCCTCCCCATCCTCCTCCTCCTCATATTATTATGTATCGTCTTATTGTTGTTGTTCTTAGTAGTAGTAGTAGTAGTAGTAGTAGTAGTAGTAGTAATGGTGGCGAACCTTTCCATGAACTACGGAGGATCTGTACCCGCTCAAGGACTCTTCGGATATGTGCCTCGAGATGCGTACGATCCAGAAGCGGAGACCCTCACGGCTAGCAGAAGCGCAATGGACCTGACGCCGGACCCGACAGAACAACAT